GTGGAGACTGCAGGGCGCTGGGAGGGTAAGGGCTGAGTCTCAGGATGGGATGCTGGTCTGAGGGAGGAGGGGGGGGCACAGCCTGCAGATGTGGCTTCAACTACTGACAAGTGTCTGTCAGAACAGGGAATGAGGAGGAGGAAGGGCTGCAGAAGGAAGATCATGCGCTCAGTGTTGGGCACAGGAAACTTGGGTGTCCCCTCAGCAGTCAGGTGGTGGAGTCTGATACGCAGTGAATGTACAGTCTGAAGCCCAGAAAGGAGAACTTGGACTCCCGAGTCGTCAGCACAGCGTCGTTAGTGAAGCGGAGATGTGGGCGGGGAAGGAAAGGGACCTAGGCCGTCCTGCTTAAGCCGACTGAACGGAGGCTGAGAAATCAGTGGGAAACCAAGGAAGAATCTGTTGGAAGAATAACCATAGAATGATACTTTATCTGCATTTTACATTCCAAATTATTTGCCTAGGAATTTTTAAGTTTTATAATAGTTGCCTTGATGGACGTGACTGTACCCACAGCGTCCATTGTACCTGCCCCCCCCCCCCCCCCATGAGAGCATAGGAATGAGCAGTGGACCCTCGGGCTCATGGGGGTCCTGGGGTGGGAGCCTCCTCTCTTTGTGCAGAGACGGGGTCAGGAGCTCAGGCGCAGCAAGGCATTTATTCTGTGGGGCGCGGGGTTGCTGCAGACCGGGCACGGGGCTGAGGGAGTTCCGTGGGCCCTCAGGGGAATCCGCCGAGTTCTCAGGAAAGAGCTGTTCCTCTGGGTGCCGTGACCTACGAGGGGAGGCCTGGGCCGGAGGCGGCTCTGTGCTCCCAGCCTGAGACTGAGGCTCACAGAAGGGGAGGTGGAGCTGAGGAAGCCGGAGGAGCGGAACGCCTTGCCAGTGGGCCTTTCCGTTTAAGCCGTTTTTGTTGTTGTATTTGAGTTGCTCATTTTCAAAGAAGGAATTTATAATGCGAGTGAATGAATGAATACATAAACCAAATTGATATTGTAGCTAGCTGTAGGTTATTTGGTAGCTCCGCAGTATATATTTTTAAAAACTTAAAGTATATTCTCTAGCCCTGGCGCAGGGAGCTCAGCTGGTTAGAGTGTTTCCCAATATGCCAGGGATGCAGGTTCGATCCCGAGTCCGGGCACGAGGAAGAACCAACCAATGAATAAATGGGACGACAAATCAACATCCTCCCTCCCTCCCTCCGTGGGTCCCCTGTCCTCTATAATTAATAAAAAATAAAAATAAAAAACTTAAAGTATTTAAGTGTTAGGAGGACAGGAAGTGGGTAGGAACTGACTTTAGAATTGTAAGGCATTAGAAAGAAGGAGGACAAGGTTAGTTCTGATGGAAATTGGACATGAAATTAAATGTTTATTTTTTATGCTTGTGCGAGGGCATTTTTACTGGTACACAGTACATAAATTTTATGCGAAATTGTAAGGCTAGGAGGAAACTAAATGAATTAAGTCTGTTAAGAGACTTCTTAGTAGGAAAATTACCCAGTGTGGACGGACAGCAGAGAGAACCGTGGGCCCTGCCCCCAGCGTGTGCAGCAGCAGCAGCTCCAATAGTCACCGACGGGCCCGACTGTCCCCTCTGCACTGGAGAATTTAAAGTACCTCCAGGCAGCCCGTTTGACTCCAGAACATTCCACTGTGCCTCTGGGGTGTAAATAGCTCTGATGAGGTGTCGCAGGCACACAGTAAAGGGCACACATTTAAAGCGTAATTTGGTAAGTGGACACAGGTCCGTGAACCCCCACAGTCGGGATGGTGGACACACCCACCCACTCCCCAGAGTGGGTCTCTCCGCAGTCCCGCCGCTCCTCCCCCGCCCCACCTCCCCAGGCGGCCGAGCTGTGCTGCTGTCCCATCTAGGAGCTTGCGTTTCCTGCAGAGGAAATTACATGCGGTGGGGACCTCTTTGTGCACTTTCTTTCACCCGGCAGAATTGTTCTGTGGTTCATCCACATCGTGGTGCATGTATCAATAGTTCATTTGTTTTTATTGCTGAGCAAGAACTTTCGAAAAAGGTAACTGCAGTATTATTACTATACCTCACAGTAAATTTAAAATGGTTCCTGGTATCTTCTAACATGAAGTCAGGTTTTAAATGTCCCCTTGTCCCATAAGTAAGTGTGCTTTTATAATTGATTGGTCTGTTCACAGAGTGGCACTTAACCTCTCGTACGTCTCCTGCTTGCGTCTCCTCCAAGTTCTTAGTTCATGGTCTTCATAACGACTGTAACTGTGCTGGGAGCAGTCACGTGGCCGTGTCACGGCACCCCCGTGCCCCTAACACAGCTGTTCCTTTGGTGAACCTCCAGTTCTTGGCCTTGTGCAGAAGACGAGTCAATATTTTTAGGGTAGCAAGAATTACCCAGATGTTGACAGTCTTTATATATAAAGTTCCCTGTGATGAATAAAGTGCTTCCAGGGAAGTCGGGGTGCCGCTGCCGACCGCAGCACGGAGCAGGCAGAGCTGGCGCTTCCTCCTGTTCCCCTCCTTGGCCCTCCCCTACTTCACACAGCTCACTGAGAGCGCGTGCGGGAAGGAGCGCGTTTCTCAGTTTTAAGTATCTAGTCGCACTTAGTGGCCAGGCTTTGGATTCATTAAGGACGCAGTGACAAGTGTAGGCAACACCTTGGCCCGTCTGGATCCTGTCCCTTCGACCTTCTCTGTCACCTTTTAGTGCTGACAGCCCTTTATTTTTCTTCACCTTCAGTTTCTCTTCTCTCACTGGATCTGCCTTATCAGAAACTAAGCATCACCAAGTCTGTCTTATCTTCAAGGGAAAAAACGTAATCTGACCTCATTTCCCTTCTCCCTCAGCTCCTGCCACCTGTCTTCACCCCGCCCGCCCGGGAGGCCAGGCTTTCTCCGGCTCCGTGTTTGCTCCCCCCAGTCCCGCACCCGGACACTCCCCAGCCCTCTGTGGTCCGCGCTCTTGCTGCCCCCGCCCTGCAGACACTGAGCTCACCACGCTGCTCGTGTCCTGTGTGTGGCATCCAGCAGACACGTGTCCAGCTGCGCTGCTGCTGTCCCTCATGACACACTCCAGAAGACACACCGGATTCTCTCCAGACTCCAGGGTGTTTCTTTGGGCCCCCTTCAATGGTTTTTGTCCTCCACCCAGCCTTACTGGGTCCTCCCTGCACTTCTAGGAAGTCCCCTGAACTCGCAGCTGTATCGTGCTGGTGGCTGGCAGCTTCTCATCCCCAGGATAACCTCTTCACTTGGATGTCTCAAGGATCCCTCACATTCAGTGTCTTAAACTGGGTCTCGTATCTTCCTGGAGCCTGGTCCTCTTCCGGGACTGTGGCCCAGCGAACTGTACACATGCCTCTCAGATCTGAAATCTGTGCCTCGCTCTGCTGTTTCCCTCAATTCCCAAATCCGGCCAACAAGCCATGCTGTTTGTTTCATCCCCCGAACACCTCTCAGATCTCCCCACTCCGTCCCATAGCTGCTGTCAGTCGAACCCAGTCTCCTTCCACCAGCATCCTAGTGAATTGCCGTCGGCCCCTCCGCCCAGCTTTCTGCCACCGGCTGCTGTGGAGTAGCCTTTAAAAGCTGCCGCACCACAGCCCTGCTTTGCGAGCTGTGCTCCCTCCGGCCTTCCGGACGGAGGGCTGAGAGCTCCCACCTTTGTACCTAAAAGTCTGGGTGAGACCAGAGGGCAGAAGAAACCTCCCGGTACGAAAGGGAAAGTGCGACTCCTGACTCAGAAGAGTTCAACTTTAAAGCTCTTTTCAGATTTATAAGTAAATTACCCAACATAGTCATTACGATGCAAGTCAAGTCTTCTCTTCTGTGCTTTGCTCTTCAGTGTGAGCAGTCTGTTTGAGTCAGTGTAGTCATCAGCTTTTGAACGTCCTCAGCACTGGGAATGTTTGTATGTTACTTGTGAGTGTGTCCCAGTACCCCTTTCACAAGCATGTCGGTTCACGATCATACCCGTCCGTGCTTTCAAACAGGTCAGGGTGGGCAGGGGCGGCCGGAGTGCGCCCAGGCGACTGTCCTCTGCGCGCATCTTCCTGCACTCAGTGGCCAGAGAAATGGCTTAACGTGGAGAAGTGAGCCGAGTGTAGCCTTCTGCGAAGCTCAGCACGCTCTTCTGGAGGCAGTGATGCTCGCGCGTGTTCCCAGGGCGAGGGGTGACCAGGCTCCCAGTGGCCTGGAAGTAGGTCTTACTCTTTGAAATACACCCTTGCCTGCTGGAGAAGGGTGTCAGGCTGAGCCAAGTGGTTGCGGTGCTCGGGAAGGCTTTGGGAAAGGTGCACCCTGGTCGTCGCCAGTGTGGGGTTCTGCAGCAGCAAGGCTCCAGGGCAGTGAGCATGAAGTTAGCACGTGACTGTTTGCTTTTGTGGCTTTGTAGAAAACCACATGCTAATCCCAGGAAGCTGTCACCTGGGTCAGTCTGGATCAGTTTTTAGGGTTTAGCAGGATCTTACCGACATTTCAGGAGATCCAGACCAAAAAATATTATGTTGAAAGGCAACCCAATCCAGCAAGTTCATACCTAATCTGCCTTAGCTTTGAGGCAGACTGCAATTTCAGGAGGATGCTGATGCAAGGAAAAGTGAGCAGGCTGAGTGAGCTGCTCAGAGCTCGGAGCCTGCAGGCCGGGCCCCGCCCGTCAGAGCCCGGCTCGCAGGCCCGGAGAGCGGGGGCTGCTGTCCCCAGTGGGCACGAGATGGGCGCGCACTCAAGCCCCAGTGCATCTTTCCTAGTAACAGTGGTTATTACTTTATTAGTATGATGAAGACCAAAGCGAGGCCAAATCATCTGTTTTAAGTTCCAAAGAACTTCTTATTTTGCTTCAGTCATTTTTTGTGCGTATATCCTCTTGGGGGTTTTATCATAAAAAGTAATTGTGGTCCAAGATTCAGGTAATTTTGTGTCCTGGGAAAATTCATTGTATTATTGAACAAAGTAATTCATCCAGTCACACATTTTTTGTTAATACGATTTTCTCAACACATTGTTCTCACGTTTTAGAAGCGGCGGCGGCGGATTGACCGAAGTATGATCGGGGAGCCGACCAATTTCGTACACACAGCTCACGTGGGGTCAGGAGACCTGTTCAGTGGGATGAACTCAGTAAGTGCCGATGGGACGTGCGGAGGAGGCCTTGGGCACAGGGACGCGAAACCTGCGTCCCACGCTGTGCGATGCTAGATGACTCCGTCCACATCGAATATACAGATCCATAATGTCAGCATCAAAGAGAATAAAGGGAAAAATGAAATAGTGACCTCCCATCTAATTTGCTGAGTTATGTGTGTGTTTCTGTCTTTGGTACTAATCTCGTCATAGGTGCCTTTCTCCTGAATACATACCTTAAGGGTTTTGAAAGTAAACTAGGAAGAATGAGAGTAAAAAACATCTCTTGGCTGTCTTTTGTAGATATATCAGTGAATTTTAGAATAGACTTGAGGTTTAATCAGCCGAAGTCTTTTATTCCTTAATTTTACTGAGGACAATGGAGTGCAGTCCAGTGGAAGTGTCGGAAAGGGCAGGGCCCTGGAACGAGCCATTAAGTCCCGAGGGCCTCTTTCCCCTGCGTCCTAAGTACCCAGGTGTTTGAACGTCCCCACAGCGTTTAGAACCCGAAGGTGAGGCGCCTTTATAAACAAGTTGTGGCCCACTGGACACACTCACTCCCTGGACAGCACTAACAGAAGGCTTAACAAGAGAACAGATTTTTAAAACAGGTCAGTGTCCTGGATAGGCAGACAACTTGGTCAGGTCAGTTACTGGTAAGCAAAGGAATGACATCTATGTCCTCTGTGGGAAACAGCCTGTTTGAAGTTTTGCAGGGAAAGTACTTTGTTTCACTCAGCTGCTGCTTGTGCAGCCGAGGGGCGTCAGGAGGCTGCGTGAGTGCAGAGCAGCGGCTTGGTGTCCGGGGTCAGCGCAGCCTGCGGGGACCAGGTGGGGCCCTGTGACTTGTTAGTTATTAGATGCTTCAGAGTCACCGTCCGTGGTCAGTTCTGATATCCTGTCAACAGATGTCTTTCTCACTTCAGGTTTTTTAAAACTTTAACTGTTTAGTTCATGGTGTTTATTTTTAAAACCTTACTTATACAGAGTTCAGAATTTCCCATCTGGCATTCCCTGCCCAGGGAGAGCGTCCCATCGCTGTGCGTAACTCTGTCGCTGGCCACCGGTGTCGGTGGAACTCGGTCTGTCCCGCCAAGGTGGACGCAGGGTCAGCGGGCCTGTGTGTGTGGGCGGGGGGGTTGCACCTGCAGTCTCTGCGCAGCACCTGTCTGCCGAGGTGGGATTTTTATGCTGTTCAGAACTAAAAAAGCTTTTTGTAGTCATTGCTTGTATTAGTTGTTTTACTAGGTGGTTGCCGCCTCTAAAGCCGCAGTTCCCCCCCCAACCCCCACTCAGTTCTGGTTAGGCTGGGTTTTGTGAAATCTGTCTCCTGCACTCTCATTGATGGTTCTAAGCTGCAGAAGGCTGATCGGGTGAGAACACTCTCTTCTCCTGTGCAGTGATAGTGCAAATAAGACAGACCCACAGACGTGCTGTGTGTCCAAGGGAATATTTAAGAGCTGAGCAGCTGGACTTAGGACCAGGCTGAGGGTGCCTGTGACGCAGCCACACAGGTTGCCAGGCGGTCGGATGACTTGTAGTTTCTCCCCGAGTACACCTTTGTTCCCAAAGCTGCCTTTCGTGCTCACTCCTCGCTAGAAGGGTCTGTGCCCCTTTTTACAATGGAGCCCTAGAGTGTGTTTGAATACTGTGTCCCCAGAGACACCCTGATACATCCAACCCACATGCTTCTGTTTGAAATTAAACTGACTTTGGAGGGAAAAAGTGTACATGGCATCAGGTAAAAATGTCGAGATTGTTTTACGTAGACCCGTGACGTCTGGGACAGCTGACTGGCGGAAGGGGCTCTGACTCCTCGCTGCGCTGCCCTCCTCTGCTTCCAGACTGCACGTGACTGGTGCGGCGAGGCTGCAGTGGTGAGGACGCACTGAGAGCGCGCCACAGTCTGCAGACGGCTTTGTGCCTTGGCTTCAGCAAAGAAAGTGTCCATGTATCTCACAGTCTGTCAGAACACAGCCCAGTAATGTAGTGCAGAGAGATGAGCATGTTAACCGTGGTACCGCCAAGAAGTCTGGACCCAGAGAGGGTAGAGCGCACCACTGTGTGAATCCAGGACGAGTCTTCGGATTCTTAGACTCCCCTAGTTTGTCAGACTGTATCAAGTATTCACGTGTGTAAATATTACTGCATTAGACGTATACTTACTTTTGTTTTTTGATTGTGTTAATAAGTAACCAAGGTGATGGTATATGTGAGGTATATGTAAATTAAGATACTTAAGGTTGAGGCACTAGAGCTGAGTTGATTCATACTTTTGACTTATTTTGAAACGTTACTAAGGGCCTTCTGAATCACCAACATGGTTTTTTAATATCTGGGAAGCAGAGAAGGTGGGGAGTGTGGCAAAACATTTTCATTACTAGCTTCGGTATTTGCTGTCATACTTAATGAAGTCTTTTATTCTAAAATTTTATGTCTTTAAAAATCTACTTTTATAGATTATTTTCCTATAAAGTACCCTTCTTAAAAATGTAGCCAAAATATGGAGACAAGAATTGGTTAGTTGCATTGGCCTTTAATTCCTCACTTTGTCTTGTTTCAGGTCAGCTCCATTCAGAACCAGATGCAGTCCAAGGGGGGCTACGGGGGCGGCATGTCTGCCGGCGTGCAGATGCAGCTGGTGGACACGAAGGCGGGATAGCCCCTCCAGTGAGTACCGCCGGGCAGCACGGCCGGCCGGCCCTTGAACGTGGGTTTGGACCGCACAGGTCCTTGTACACGGATATTTGTCTGTAAACACTGTAAATGTATTTTCGTTAAGAACAAATTCCTTTTCTCTGGCTAACTTTATTGTGAGAATGCCGTCTATAACAGTACGTACACGAACTACAGGTCGGTCAACTGCTAAGGCTCCTGGTCGGCAGTGGGCTGTCAGCAGTGCAGTTTGAGGGAGTCAGAGGGTGGGGGGTACAGTACCCCACCCCCAATTTTGTTCAAGGGTCAACTATATTTTGTTTTTTTAAAAAAAGGTGAACACACGGCAGAAGTATTTTTATTCGGCCAAATGTTTCAGGTGATGGTCACTGGCCCCGCTGCAGGCTGAGGGTTAGTTAGTTCTGGGCGGTTCCTTCCCGTACGAAGAACTTGAAACGCACCGGGACGCCTGCTGGGGGGAGGCTTGGACTGAGATTCCGGGGACGAGTTTCTCATTTTGTGTCCTCTGAATAGGGGTAATTATTATTTCTAGTGTCGGTACTGCATAGATCCTATGTGTAGTGAAATAACTTTATATTTAACATCCTGCTATTGATAAACCTTTCATAATCAGCTTTTAAAAAGTATGAACCCTTAAAGTGTAAAATAATTTGGATTCTTCTTTTGGTTTTGTAGGTCATTGTGAAGTTGTTTCCTTTTTCCATTTTGTTTAAATTCTTTTTTTTTGTCGTGATTTTCTTTTCAAATACAAAAAAAGAAGTGACATGGTGTCGTGTCCCTCCCGTTGTGATTGCTCCAGCGAGACATCACGGCTGCGCCGGAGCGGCCACCGCCAGTGTCCCCTGCCTCCCCTTCGGTGGCCCTGCGCACCCTTGGACTCATGGACATAGTTCTTTACATCGTGGCTTCAATTTTTATCAACATGGGTCTGACCTTTAGCATGATCTTTGTGTGAATGCTAGCACTATTTTGCATTTTCTTTTTAAGTATCTCTTTCCACCTCCCTTATGATTTTATTGGTAAGCAAGGACCTGCTATTAGCTGTAATTTGTCACCTTTATGTATATTTTGGACGGTGTGAGATCCACAAGGATCATTTTTGTTCATTGAAACTTCGGCAGAGACGTCTGCATGCTTTCTGAGGTGGCCGCGTGCGGGGGGCCCCCATAGCCAGGCCACGCCCGTGCACACAGAAGGTGACGTGCCGCTCCTTAGGAAGGACTGTGCAGTTAGAATTATAGTAAAAGGAGAGCTTGCATTCACGAGGCCTGCCTTCTGTTGTAAATGTTCACTCTATTTATTTTGCGAGCGAGGACCCAGGAGCGGAGCAGCTCTGGGCGCTCTGTCTCCCTGTGCGCTCAGTCTGTCCCCGGTGTCTTGACTGTGTGTCAGTGTCATGGTACCCGGTAGCCAGGTTGTTGACCTTCCCACCCTCCGCATATTGGGAGCAGCCCACTGACCGGAGTTGTTGCCCCTGAGAACAGTGGCTGTGGAATAGGTGAGAAAAACCTTGGCTTTGGTTCCAAAATCTGTTTATTCTTCCACCAGTCGGTGGTTTGCATTCGTGTTGACATGTAAAATCCCGTGTCCACGTCAGCCCCAGGTAACTACACGTGGTCGGGTTAACAGTCCATGAAGCAGATGGGGCCTCTTTGAAAACTCAGTGCTAAGGAGTTAGAAGAATGATCACTTTCAATTACCTTTAAAAAAACTCCTTCCCCTCGGTCCCAGGTTCTGTGAAAAGGCAACTTGTGAGCACAGACAGGGTCTGTGCAGGCAAATCGCTGCTCCCGGTTCTCCGGCCCTCGGCCCTTGTGCCCCTGCACGCGTGAGCCTCCCCCAGGGAGAGAATCTGTCAAGGAAGAACATTTATGCTTAGTAGTAGAAATAGGCATTTTGCAGCTTAATAACTTCTAAACTTTAATTCTCCGGTGTCATTAATTTGCTGAGTGGGCGCTGCGTTCTGGAATTCGCTGGAGAGCAAGTCTGCACCACCTGCTCCCCAGCCTCCTGGCCGGACGCTGCTGTGTGCCGGCTCCTTAACTGATGGGCTGGAGTTTCTTGACATTGTCAGCACTGGTGCCATTTAGTCTACTTTGACTTTAAAAATTAGTAGTTTTTATACTTGTCATATAACTCCTGGGACAACCACACAGGGAGCCATGGTCCCTTTCATGATTTGTGTTTCCCAGTCGCTCTTTTTTTTGCTTCTCCGAGGACCAAATGCCTGGCCTGCATTGGAGCTGTGTCTCCGCAGGCTGCGCTGTGCAGCCACACTGTGTGCAAGGGCCCAGGGTAAGGAAGGTGCCAGTAAGTTCAAGAAGAAAATTACCAAAAATTCTAACCTTGGACACAGATCTTTCAGGAAGGCTTGACGACGTGAGAGTGTGGAGGAGACCGCTTTCCCACACGCACAGTGGGGCTGCGAGTCTCGGGTAGTCATGTGGTCCCCATGGCAATGCCTCTTGTCTTAAAATGAAGCTAATTAAATAAATAGGGTAGACTGTTAATAGTGTATTGAAGTAGATGCTAATAACAACTGTTAAACAAGGGGAACTGAATGGAGGTTTACCAACGACACGGAGTCTGTTATCAGTGACCTGCGTTCTGACCACAGGTGGTCCCGGCACGAGCGCGTGGAATGGCGGCTCTGGCCCTGGGTCAGCATTTCCAGTGCAGCGTCACCCGTGGGCCTGTAAAGATATGAGAGTATATTAGCTTTCATTTTGTTATTAAATTATAGCAGCTTCATTTCAGAGCAAGTTTGCCTTGATGTTGTTTAAAATGACCTGCTCAGCACCCAAAAGATAAAATTGACATATTTTTATAATATAAGCATACTTTTTTTTTTGTACATTGTGTTCATTCTTGAATAAAATGAGTTCAGTGTTGGCTTGTAGATATTAAAAAGAAAGTATTGATTCAATAAATGTTTTCTTTTGATCCTGGTTTGGCTTTTCTTTCAAGGAATTATGTATCAGAATTCACTGAGAGCACTTTTTTAGCGTTCTTATATTTTCTGTTAATAGTAAGGCCATGCAGAAATAATTTATCGTTTTTCCCTTGACAATTTAAATTTCTAAACTTGTAAATCTTTAACTTATTAACACATGCCTAGTCAAAATGAGCCTTAAATATTTGGAAATAGGACTTTTTACTGAAACATCCCTTTTCTCCAAATTTTCATTGTTAAACTTGTCTACGATGTTGCTAGACAAAGGAATCAATCAGATACCTAGTCAGTTTTCCATGCTGAGGCCTTTTGTCCTCACAGTATATGTAGAATTTAAGTTAGTTTTCCATGCTGAGGCCTTTTGTCCTCACAGTATATGTAGAATTTAAGTTAAAGTTGAGAATTCTTAGCCATACTCTCCACATTTCAAGTGTTTAATAGCCTCACGGAGCTCCTGGCTCCCACCTGAGACAGCTGTGGCACGTGTCTGTCACCACAGGAGGTCTGGGCAGGTTCACGTTCGTCCCTGAAAGAGTTTAGGACAGTGCTTCTCCGTCCCCAGGGGAGCATTTGGTGTGGAGACACTGTGGGCCCTCACAGCTGGAGGCAGGTGTGGGAACTGGGGGGCCTGTCCAGCCCTGCAGCCACGGTTTTCAAGGAAAGATCTACTTGCTCCCCAAATATGTCCTGTTAGACTGGCAGGTGGGGTCTCGTCTGCGTCATGAGAACTGCTGTACAATATTCTAAAAGAGAAAAATGGATGAGAAAAATATTGGGAAAGAGTATTTCAAAGAGTGTTGGTAATTTTAGTCCTCCATCGTGGCCCAAAGACTTGAAGAGGAAATTGGGTTAAGATGAAGTTTCTTGTAAGGTGGCAAAACACTGACAAAAAGTACCTGAAGAAACTCATGTTTACGTGTCACGAACTCGATTCTGGGCACGTTTTCCGAGGACAATGTGGACGAAAGGGCTCGTCAGACAAGCATGAAAAGTAGGACCAATCTAGAGCATCAGCCTAGAATTCGCAAAAACCTACAAAGCATATAAACAAGAAGGAAATTATATCCTCTCGTTAAAATAGGCTTTTAGCAGACTTCAGTTTATTGTCTCCATTCAGAATGCTCCAGCAAGAGATGAACTTAAACTATTAAATGACTCATGTTAATCCAACTTTTTATACTTTGGCACCTTAACTTTTAGTTTTCATGATGTTTCCAAGACTGTGCAGTTTTGTTTTTTAAGTGCTTTCTATCGGATACATACAACCCCTTTCATCTTGACTCGCGTCCTCTTAATCTCATCGTCTCGAAGTTTTCTATCCGGCCTGCCTTTGATGCCTAGGAAAACAATCATTTTATTAGGAAAAGTTACTTCCTGACTAGGATTCGCACCTTTGACCTGGGCCCTCACAGCAGTTGCTGAGGGTGGCGGGCGGCCTGGATGGAAGATGGGACGATTTCAGAGCAGGAGTCACGTCCGACTTGCCCCCATTTCCTCTCATAAATCCAAGCTCCAGCATTCCCGAGGGCTGTGACGGGGCCCTGAGTCTCACATGCTCACTGGCTCAGGCACGAGCCGCACTGACAGCCTGCCTTGGGGCCAGACGGGGTTGCTAGAGAGAGGGGAAGGGAGGAGAAAGAGCGGGAGAGAAACATCAGTGTGTGGTTGCCTTTCATGTGTCCCCTATGGGGACCTGGTCTGCAACCCAGGCGTGTGCCCTGACTAGGAATTGAACCCGCAACTCTGCTTCACAGGCCCGTGCTCAATCCACTGAGCTACATCAGCCAGGGCACCCTTTTCTTAAAACTCTTGATTTCATCCATCTATAAACATATCCAGCCTTTCTGTGCCCGTGCCTTTCAGATGGCTGGACCTAATCCTTCACTTCCGCCCTGGTTCTGTGCCAAGAGCCCCCCACGGGCCTGTCTGCTGCAGCAGGGGTGGGTGGCGGGGTCCCCTCCTGAGGGTTCCCTGGTTTCTCAGCAGCAGCAGCGACAGTGAGGTCCAGAATATTACAGAGCACTCCCCTCAAACTAGTGAGAGAACATGATCTTGAACTAGTATTCTGTCTACAGCCAAACTCAAGTGAGATGGCAGGTGATGATCAGACTTGCTACCTGGAAGTACTTCAGAGTACACTGCAAGAAAGAAATCTACCTAAAATGAGAAGATTTTAAGGAAATTGGTTGCAAGAAGCATAGTTAAAGGGGTACCATTGAACAGCTGAAAGATCTTTGCATCCCCCAAATTTTTACCCAGCACTGTGCCCACTGGGGATATAGCAGTAAACAAAATTCCTGTATCTGTGGAGCTTTCGACCTAGTGGTGTGGGTGCGAGACAGTGAGCCAGCCCAGAAAGTAACTGGGAGGGGAGATCAGCAGTGCTGGGCACGCTGGGGTCGTGGGGGAGGAGTGACGGCCGAGGCTATGACATGGTTGTGAGTGACCAACGGGTGTGCCCCGGGCCCCTAGAACAGGGTCAGCTAGGCAAGTAAATAATGTTTTCTGAATGAAATCTAGTAAAGTAGAAAATTGTCATGTACGAGGCAGTTTTAGTGACAATTATTTAAGAGCTGATAACATTTTGGTTGTACAGTGAATTATAGGTACATAATTACAATATTCCAGCCTTAAAAAAAGCATGAAAGAATTATAGTCACAGAACAACATAAATTTGAGAAATGGTGACACAAGACAGTGCAGCAGAAAAGAAATGGCGGAGTGTGAGTGCTAATTTCTACCCAAACTGGGAGTTCACAAAGTGCTGTCCGTGCAGGCACGTGTTGAAAATGGTCCTTTGCCCCTGGCCAGGGAGCGGAGTTGATCGGAGCACTGCCCTGATGCGCCGAGGCAACAGGTTCAATCCCCAGTCAAGGCACATACAAGAATCAACCAGTGAATATATCATGAGTGGAACAACAAATTGCACGTTCTCTCTCTCTCTCTCTCTCTCTCTCTCTCGAATAATAAAAAATTAAAACTGATCTTTTAAAGTTGTGAGAATAATGGAAGTGTAAAAATTTAACCATAACTGTTCTGAAGAAAAGACAAGTCTATTATAAGCTTCATCTTTTATGGTATAAAATCATTTGTAAATCGAGGAATGAGAAAGTAAATCGACCTTTTTTAAAATTAAGGAGGTAACCCTCAGTGAATTCAAAATGCAAATAACTCCAAGTATTTACCGTTAGCACACAGGTGGCAGACACAAGGCCCACGGGCCAATCCGGCCTCTGCCTTCTTTCATCCGCCCGGCTCCTTGTTTCCACCCGGCAGCAGCGCCGAGCTCCTTGTCCCTAGTTAAGGAGCAGTGACATCTGTACAGTCCCAACATTGCATTCGGCCCTTCGAAGGCAACCTCGAGGCTGACGGCCCTGCCTCGGCAGTGGGAGGGAGTGAGCGGTGGACGAGGGACTTTCCACATGATGCCCGTCTGTCCGGTTTGGATTCCAGTTTCTTTGTAACACGGTTAATTTCATAGCAGTGATCTAAAACAAAACATCTTAAACAAGAAATACTAGGCAATAGCAAGAGAGCGCAGTAAGGAACTCCAGGCCCTTGTTTCCCCACAGAAACACTCAGTAAACCAAAAAGCTTCGAGAGAACTCTAGCAGCTAGTTAAGAAGCTGCATGAACCAAGCGAATGCAATAAAGAAAGAGCCACCCTCATGGGCAGGTGGAGAGGTCAGTGCTGCTGTCTCCGGGCAGGGATGTGGACGGTGGCGTGACGTGGAAGCAGGTGGAAGGCTGCTGAAGACGCGAGTGGGTGTGTGTCTGCGTTGTAGCTGGTCTGCGGGCCCGTAGGTGTCTCGGGGTAGACTACAGGCGGAGGAAGGCAACAGAAACTCATTCTGAGAACAAGCAGGAATGAGACTCTACATAAATACAAACATTTAACAGCAGCCCTGAGAGGCCTTTCAGTCAGGTTGATGGGTGAAGGGCCCCTGTGTGAAGCCACTCAGTCCTAAGATTGGGAGAGGCACAGTTTCAAATACCTAAATCCCAGCAAAAGATCACAAGACATACACAGAAACAAACCACGGCCCATTCAAAGGCACAAACTAAGTCGTCAGAAACCAAGCTTAACAAAATACACCTCTGACTTGAGAAAGAATTTTTTTTTTTTAAATTTTATTTAGTTACTTTTCAAGTACATTTTTTTTCTCTTCCCCCCCCCCCCGCCCTGAGAAAGAATTTAAAACTCTTAAATATGCTCAGTGAGCTAAATGAGAACATGGGCAGATGATTAAACAAAATCTAGGAGAATGATTTTCTAAAACAAAACACTGAAAGTCCTAGCCAGTTCAGCTAGTCAAGAAAAAAAAAAGGCATCCAAATGGAAAACCACGACCCGATTTAGGGGAAGCCCCGGAGGTGAGCCACCCCCCACGGCTGGAATGAACAAACCCCGCAGAGCTGCAGGGCACGGAGTCAACACGAACACCAGAGGTTTCTGCACACAAGCAGCGAGCAACCTGGAAAATGCAGAAAACAATTCCATTTATAACGGCATCTAAAAGAATACAATACTTAGGAATAAATTTGAGGCAAAAGACTCGTCCACTGAAAACCGTAAATTAGTGAAAGAAATTAAGGACAAATAAATTGAAAGACACTGTGTGTTCATGAACTAGAAGATTTAAGATTAAGATAGCAGTACCATCCGATCCACAGAGTTGATGGAATTGCTACCAAAATCCCAGGGGCTTTATTTATTTATTCCAGGTATAGAAAAATACATCCTTATCATTCATGTGGAGTCTCAAGGGACACTGAAGAGCCAAAATAATCTTGAAAAAGAACAATGTTGTAGGTACCATACTTGATTTCAAAACATGATGATCTACAGTAATTAGTGTGGTACCAGCACAAAAGACAGACCAAACAATGGAATAGAACAGAGAACCCAGAAACGCCAGAAATAAACTGTGTAGGGTCAGTGATTTTCAGCAAGGATGCCAAGAGCGCTCAGTGACACAAAGCTGCTCCT